GCGGGGCGGGCGGCTTCCGCCCTCGGGGCGGCGAGGGCCAGCGGAGCGGGAGCGCGGGGCCGGCGACCCGAGCAGCAAAGGTCAGGCTAAATGGTCAAAAGTAGAGGGCGTTTTATACATCCTCTTCCTGAGTTCGCCAGACAAAACGCAGAAGGGCGGAACATGTGTTGGAAGCCTTTTCTTTCGGCCTTAAGAAATGCCCTTCTGAGATCCCGTAGAACGAAAGGCAAAAAAAGGCAAGACTTCATCCCAGCCTTGGCTTTCCAACTTAATAAACAAACAAGATTTAGAGGTGTCTGATGGAAAAGAACCCGCTATTCCCACAGGCACTCCCGAGGGGCGTTAGGCAATGTGCACTTTTGACTCCATTTGCCCTTGCACGAGTCGGGCTTCCATGCTGTAGTTCCTCAACATGAATGGGACAGGAGCCAGCAGAAAGGGAAGTCAGGCAGAGAGAACCAAGACTTAGACACCTGACAGAGACTTAAAAGGAAAAAAAAAAAGACATGTTACATCTGGTTGCAAAATCTTCAGTGAGTTCCCTCTGTGCTCCTGGGCGACAGAAGAAAAACACCACTAAGTGTGGACGGGTGCTGAAGCACAGAGAAGGTGCTGCAGAGCAGCTGGAGGTGTGGGACTGACTCACTCAGCCTTCAGAAAGGATTTTTTTTCTGTTGTCTTTTTTCCTCTCATGTAAAATTACAACACTAACAGAGTTAATTTTTTAATTTTTTTTTTTTTTGGCTGTGCTTACTTCGTTGGCTGTAACTGACAGCCACAGTTGAGCCTTAAAAGCAGACCTCTTTGTTCAGCGGTGGCCATCGGACAGCGTTTCTGCGCAGCAGGAAGGGGACCAGGCACTGCTCGGAGGTTCAGAACTCCATCAGCCAGAGCCCTGCAGCTGCAGTTCAGTGAAGACTGCGCAGTCCCAGACCACAGGCCAGTTCACTCTCCCCTAAATTCTGTACAAACTTCCCGCTTCAGGGCACTGCTTTTTACAAAGATGGCACAGGCCTAGGGAACAGGTTTGCTGAGCAAGGTAGTGCCAGCTGTACGCAGCACATTGCTGTTTATCTATGACTAAGCTTAAAACCTCCTTACGGATGTCCCCGAGTTAGCTTTGCAGCCACAACTAGGTTACTTTGTGCTCTGGGAAGGGGTTCCAGCTTTCACCGAGCTCTGCGCTGCCACAGCTAAACGGCTAGCAGCACACAGGAGACCAAGGACCAAAAGGATATTACAACACCCAATGTGCAAACACTTTTTCAGCTAGTTTAATGATGATAATTATTTACTGAGCTAAAATGATATGCTGCTGTGGGTGCAAAATTTTACTACAGCATGTGCAAAGTCAGAAAAGACTCCCCACCCTCAGGAATGTATCAAATAAAAACAATAAAAAGAATCCTAACATATGTTAGTGTGCAAAAAGAAAACCAAAGACTCCAAGCAGGTCAGTGACAGTGGAATATGCATTTTCATAGGGAATTTAACTACCGAAGCCAAACTCGGCTATGTGCTTTTGCTGATAGTGTTCTTGTGGAAAAGCTTCAGCAGACGTGAGGGCAAGTATTGGCTGGACTGAGTAATGTCAGGGTTTTCTCTGCTAAAAACCAGATCTGCTAGAACCATGAAGGGTTAAATAAGTGGAAGACAATGTAAGGAGTAGGTCAGCATTTTCTCCAAGAGGTTACGTACTAAGGCTCATGTAATCTGAAGAATTGTAACACAGCCCTGTGTAACGACACATTTATCGAAAAGACAAAGTTGATATATTTTACATGTTGTACTTGCTGTAAATTTATTACTTTTTTTACAGTTGAAAATATAAATACAAGAACATCAAATAAATTTACAAGAAACAGTGCAAAGGCAATTAGCCAAATGTTAAAGCATTCACAGAAATGCATTCCAGCTACTAGCATTCCAGTACGATCTTTTATTAACATGCAGTTAAAACCTTGTGGATAAAGACAACAAATACTTTGAATTCTCACTTTAAAGCATATTCAGAGTAGTCTTGGACATAGGTGACCAAAAGAACCCATGTGTTGCGTGCAGCCCCTTACAGGGTCTGGCACTCCACAGTGCAGCACCAGTTTGTCCTAGCGCTTGCTCCAGGAGCATCCAACCTTTGCCCAAGAACACAAGGGAAAAAAGTGACGGCCACAGCTGCACACCTGTGTGAGGAAGAAGAGGCACAACCAGGGTTCAGCAAGAATCTTCACAACGTTGTATGGGCTTTCAGCTGTTGTGCATGAAGAGCCAAAATCCAGCTTTTCAGACAAATACCACAACGAAAATGGAATTTTGCTTCAGGAATTACTGAGCTAGGGCCTCAGGATTTGGCTTGCCAACCAAGGGCCAAAGTACAAGCAGAAATACTCATTAGAATAGCTCAAGAGCTGCCCCTTAAAAACCAGCCACACAGTGAAACAAACAATTTCTCAGCTACTAAATATAGCAGCTAGCATTTATTCTCTGTATTTTTTCTTCAAAAAAATAACACTTCTTTACTTTTCTTTATCATTGCAACTGAGAAATGGCAGTGTGTTTCATCTCTGGAACCACCACTCAAGATAAAATAATGACCCTGTTGAAATCAATGGCAAAAGCTCCCATTGATTTACTCAAGCCACTAACATAACTTAGTTGTATTTAATAACCTACTGACTACTTTATTTATCACTCCCTCACTCATGGCACTCTACTTTGATGATACCCAGTTTCTATCCCTCTGTGGTGTACTAAGAGGTCGCTAAAGGTTCAAGACCAATAGTGTTTGTATTTACAGGTCTGTACTTAAGTGAATATACTTAAACCACTCTAAGTGACTTCACTTACTGAACAAATTAACTTCCATATCATTCTATGTTAAAGTTAATTATCTCAATTAGAGAAAAATGCAAACTTACAATAAAAGTTAAAACAATACCAATTATTTTTCTATACATAGGAATATTTATATTACAGGAAATAAATATAAAAGTATCGTTAAGATGCTTAAAGGTTGATATTTTTGTTTATGTACATCACTATAGTTTGCTACTACAACATACAAAAAGTTGAAGACAGTGTAGCTTAACATTTTTACAGGTAACATCATTTGTACGCACAAGTTGTAACTTCCTACATTTATACAATACTACTATGCATTATATCCAGATAAACTTAGTTGTAATGAAAAAAGTCTAAACAAAACTTTCCTTAAAATGTAAAAAACAACCTCAAAAACCCCTCTAATGAAAAATCAAAATGGAAATGTGCCAGCTGTAATTTGACAACCAAGATACTTTGTCAAAATAGCAGCTTTTTTTTTTTTTTTTTTTTTTTTAAATATTTGCCTTTGTAAATCCTTTGCATGGCTGCCTTGAAGTTCCAGTCCCATATTTTAAATAAAATCAGTTCTTGATCTGCTCACATTATGTAAAACTGTTAAAGTAAATCTCTACTTCACACTGTAAAACAATGTGCTGTTTAAAAGGAAATCACATTTTCTCAATAAAAGTTAAGCTTCCCCTCTTTGAAGTCCTTCTGAGCGAGATATGGCTTTTTTGGCTGCCTGTATCATCCTTTTCTTGAAATACAAGTTGTTTGCCTGAAAAGTCATGGAGACACACATCACCATTCTGTACACTGAAAGAAACACCATTCTTCTCACTGGAAAGATGGCCTGTTGAAACAAAAAAAGTGCATCCCCTATCAGAAAGGTTCAGAATCACGTCTCCCAATGCTTTTTCAGTCACTGCAGGGAGTTCATGCACTCTTTTCAAACAATTTCAAAATGTGGGTTTTTCTGTACGTATTCTGTATGTATTTCTTTTCCTGTGTGAAATCAGTACGAGATGTGAGAGATGTTAATATATTTATGCACAATAGGATTCCATATTTTAAGCAGCGAAGGTCACAATACTCAGAATGTAGACTTTGACTTGGAATAATTATCACTAGGTAAGATGCAAAATACTTCTCATTCTAGTTTTGCTTTAATAAGGTAAGTTTAAAAGGTTTCTCAGGCTTGCCATGCATCTAAAACAAAGTGTTTGAGAAAAAAAGGATTTTCATTTTTTTTTCCTTTGAAAAGCACCCAACTTGCAGCATTTATTTCTGGAGGACAATCAGAATATGGCCTAGGTCCAGTCATGGGTCTAAGCCATATTTAGACTGCGAATCTTACACATTTAGGTGAGTATACCATGAACATGTGTAATACCACTGCTGATTGAAGCTTATTAATGAAATGCTCCACAAATGCTCAGTTCACCAGATAGAATATCCTACCTCTGTGCATCACGTTCTAGATAATTTTGATGAGAACTAGGATTTTTTTATTGTAAGTATTTGTGCAAATGTTCTGGTTGGATTTTTTTCTTTTCTTTTTTTGCAAAGCAGTCAAGTTTAAAAGATCTGCCAGGATCCTGATATCTTATGTATAATATGAGTAGGAGTAAATTATAAGGAATACCATAATGGGGAAACCAAAACCACAACTACTATTTGTTTTGGGAGGGGATCATTTTGTTAAACACTGAGAAATGAGTTCACAAACACAGATGCAGTACTGTAATTTATACCAGAAACAGAATTAATAAAAGACATAAAACATCCAGGTTTGCTATTTGTGTTAATATTCACAACACTTCATATACAAACATCATCATGATTCAGTAGATTTCAGTAAATCTACTGAAAAGGCACAACAGTGAAGGTAGAAAGTGCTTGTGGTTTATGGTTTTAGGAGGAGGAAAAACACCAGTGAGAAACCTCTAGGCAGTGAAAGATGACTCTATTACAGGGATCAAAATCTGAGCCCCTCTAGTATGCCTGGTCCATCAAATACCTCAAATATCCTGGAGCAGAATTCTGCTTTGGCTCTGTCCTCCCCTTTCACTCTCACCACCTCAAGCTTCTGAACCCTTCCAGAAGGGGCAGGGCCACATTACAGGATGCTCTTCAAGTATTTCTTGTTGGGGTCACCAGAAGGAGAAGTATTTGCTGACACCCCTCCCCTGCATTTAATCCCTCCCTCAGAAAGGAATCTGCTGCTTGAGTGACTGGGCTGGACTGCTCTTCTCTATTCTGCTTGGGCCAGGGCCCCCAAGCACACAGGTTTAGTATCGGTCTACCCAAACACTTCCTCTAGAAACTAATCCTTGACTTTAGGCAGACTGCATATGCTTCAGCAGTTATTCTACTGATTCAAGCAGATGTCAGCACCAAAGTCTCACTGGCAAACTTTTCTTTGGAACGACAGACGGCACTTTTAAAATAAGACGTGAACATGTATTTCTTGCTGATAAAGCTTACTACCAGTTTGAAAATGTAATGCGTGTAACTTATTTTAAACACCTCAGGATGGGAGTTTACAGGAGTGGGTTTGTGGTGATGGCTGTCAAAAATTACAAATTCCATGCCAAACTATTTAGCTGCCACTGGACACACGAAATGGAAGCAATGGCCCAACAGACTATGCAAAACCTCTTAAATATAAAGTCTAATATTTAATTATTAATTTAAAAGGCCATCAAGCACTTAAACAGGCACAAATGTAAACAGGGTAAGATGAGCAAAAGAGATTTGTTAATCAATTCAAGTCAGTTAAAGACTGAAATGACAGAAAATAACCATAGTTGCTGACACTGTAATTGTACATATATAGTTGTTTAACCCCCTCCCTGACTACAACTGTTTTATTTTAGAAGGAGCATTCAAAATAGCTGTGCCCTAATGTTAGGGAAAAATCTGAGAGGAAAATAAAGCTATTCTGTGAACGAATTCAGAAAGGTGGATCTGCAGGTTCAGCCAAGTGATACCTAATGGTTACCAAACATGCAAACCTGTAAGAGAAAAACTGAAAACAAGGAAATATTAGTGTGCCATGAAAAGATGAAGTTACACAGTCCAGTAGGCAAGCAAAGCCACAGGTTGTATAGACACCCCAAACTTACCATGGCAAGTAGTGGAAGTAGTGAAGCCAAAACCATTAAGTGTTTACAGCTCAGTACATTCATGACATAAGTCTTAATTTCTAGAGTGTTTTGGAGCTCATTTTTTAAAATGAAGTATTGCAACATTATTTTGAAATTCTAGCTATGGCAGCAGGGAAATCGGGTACAGCAAATTAGAAGGTCCCATGTTCCTAACACCAGTCAACTACCTTTTGGAGGCATTTGCATTTACAACTGCCCCATGTTTGGAAGATTAAGTGTAAGGAATTGCCTCAAAGAGCTTTGCTGGGAGGACCAGCTCTATCCAATAATAAGTTTAGCCTCTTCTTGTGGAAGTCATAAAGACCCAGAAAAATTATTTAGTCAAATAAACTATGCAGGCAAGGTATCGTACAACCCTTTTGATATGAACGGAGGATGTGGTTCACAAGGTTCACAGCATTCAAAACATATAATAAAATACAAGAAGAGATGAGGTGGGTCATCTGAGACATCTGTGTTCGTGAGTGTATAGGAACAAAGTTCTATCAAAGTTCTTTCAGCTGCTTTGTCTGAGAAGCTGTTGGCACAGGACATACAGACTCTCACACTAGAAAGATCTAATTATGTCAATAAACTAGGACAAAACTGGAGCACATCCCACAGAATTGGCATCACTCAATGGTTTAGACCAGCAATTTTGCATCTCCTTCTAAAATACTACCCAAATCAACAAAAACTTGTTCCAGAAAGCCACAACAGGACCATTCACTCAGCTGCTACAACAAACGAGTTCAGTAAAACATTTCTGCTATCTTTCTTTCTGTTGAGAAAAGTAGCCAAAATGCTTTTGTAGCTGTGTATAAGCATGTCAAATGCTGCAGGGAGAGGTGGCATCTTTCATCAGAGTAACTAACATGGCTGGAAAAAAATCCCTACAAGACATGCAAGCTTTTGTGCCTGAAAATTTCTCTCTCTTTGAAAGGTATTACATATACCTAAAAACACTGCCTTGCTTTGTATTTGATGACAGTGAGAGTTACTGGATTCTGGTTCTCAACTGACCTGTTAGATACAAAGTATGTTAATTGCATTGTGTGGTATCCAAACGGAGAGGTTTTATAAAGGAATGACAAAAAAAAAAAAACAACCCAAAAACCAAAAAAACAAACGAACTAATTTTACAAGCTCAAATTGGAAAGCTTTTCAGGGCATGTCCAAATCCCATTTCCTGAAGTATTGTGGTTTCTTTACAGTATACAGCTAGTACATCCAAATGAACAATAACCTATTAAGGGGGCAGCACATATGAATTCCACAGCTTTTACTCCATACATCAGAGAGTATCTGCTGAGATTATCCCACTGATTATCTGCTGTCTTCTGACAGCATATGCCAGGAAACGAGGACAACACAGTCTCTGTGAGCATGCTCTACAACATCATACTAACCAGTTTAGCTGATGGCACAACTTCTTAGCCTCAACTCTTGATCAGTTGGGAAAAATACCTCAGGCACGCAGGAGTAATGTCCTGTAAGTTTTGGTCAACTTAGGCTTTTATACATTACAGATTTGTAAGTTATTTTTCTCGTTGAAAAATTGATTGTCTTTACTGAGAGCTCAAATCAGCAAGAGTGTGAAAAACTAGATTATGTCCACTGAAAAAAATCATTTTTCAGGAAGTACATTCAGTGCAGATTCATATCTAGTTTTCTCAATAGACAAATAAACCATGCCCATTTGCAAGTGAAATGGATTGGAGTGCTACATGCACCTGCATTTCAACTTCTCAGGAACAGAGCAGAAGGTAACAGTTCAGAGGATAGTACTGTGTTAGAACAGGAAGGATAGAGAATTTTACTTATGAAGAATTGTTTTCTGCAACAAAGATATATATCTGTTAGGCAAAAACATCCTTAAAAACCCCACAGAGGAAATAAAGAGCTATAGAGAAATTCAGTTTCAATACTTACTCAGTAGCCAACAGTGAGGCAGCCCTCTCAACAGTGCTGTCTTCACTGAGGTGGTTTTATAAGTTAGTCTCCATTTTCTCTTACTTCACCTCTCATAAGCAGCTTCCATGTAAGCATTCCATTAATGTTCTTCCTCATATTACCTCCTACATGATTTCTTTCATACTTTCAAGTTATATTATTAACCTACATTTCTTTCTTCTTCAGGCAATGTTTGTTTTAATAAGGTTTAAAATATGAACTGTTTTAAAACATGCTTGAAGTTTATTGTCATATATTAAGGTGACAAGAGAAGTGTTAACAGCAGCTTCTGGTAAGTAATTGCTCTAATAATGACTATTACCTACTATTTGATATATAAATCAAGACAACCCACTGGAACTCTTGGATGAAATGGATATTTTAAAACTTTGTCTATAGTTCCCTAAAACAGATGTGTGGTATGATTTGTGAGGACATCCTGAAATATTCTGACCCTATACTTAGGGGTAATATTTTCTCAGCACTTCACTTTACATTAGCATGAGAGAGCATAGCACTTCTGTTTTAAGACAAGAAAAAAAATAGCTTGAGAAATACTATTTTTCATTATACATACCATTTCCATTCGCGTGCACTGAATAATCATTATTCATTAGCAGAGTTGTAGAGTTAGTGGAGTTACTGTTTGATTGTAAGGAATTGGAAGAACTGGATACTCCTTGATTTACAGTCTGCTTCTTTAAACCATTAGTAGCAGTTCGACTCCAGTCTACAATAGATATATGTCACAGAAAATAGCATAACTCATACAAGCAATATATAAAAATATAGTTAATAACGCAACTGAATTAAAATAAAAACAAGGCTTTACCCACTGTCCTCACAGTATTCTAGACAGAATGATATTCTCCTAAGAATTTTATGATTCTTGATGTTTGAAATTATTTAAATCTAGTTGCTTTTTCTCGTGTCCTTTTTTTACTACAAGCAGCCGTCATAGTTCACGACTGCAGACCAGATCAGAAAAATAACTAAAATACAGTTGATCCTCCAAGTTAAAGTGTATGAAAACTATATAGCTTCATGAGAAGTCAACTACTGAATAACAAAATAACATTAAATAATTTCTAGTTTTCTTGGTTTAAAATATGCTTCACCTTGTTTTTGTGGAAGTTGCAGGTAAAACTACAGTTGATTCAGAAGCTGGAACAAATCTTACAGTTTCTAACTGATAAAAGTCTTCTGCAAAGACATGCCTTTATACTGCAGTGGAAGAGATCAACTGCAGTTAATAGCTTAATACAACAGCATGTAAGCATGTAAGAACTGCATCCACTACCACCTTTAAAGAGCATAATTTTGGAGGTTTATTATACCGTGGATAATAAATTAGAACTGCAACTGGAGCAACATGATTTATTGAGTTTTTTTTAAGAAGTATTGCAAAATACTAGGAACTTAACACTGAGTATAACTATTCAGAAGTAAAAAAAAAGAGAAATATTCATATACCAGAGTTTTCAGCCAGCCTGAATTTCCCACAACAGAGATATCTTCTCCACTGTTTACGGACATTCTCCTTCGCTACACAATAGAAGATAAAAATGAAGAACCCTGCAAAACAATAACATTAGAGAATGTTGCAAAATTGACTTTTACTATTTCTTAATGAACGATGTTTTAGTTTTCTTTCATTTCTTTGAAATTTCTAATCAAAGGTAATGACACCCTTCTTTGGTGAAAAAGTTTACAACTCTAAACACTGAAGAGTACTCTTCCCTTACATAGATGAGGGAAAGCATACACACAAATGCAAGAACAACAAATATAACGAAATCCACAAAGTGCATAAATTTTCCTTCTATCAAAAAGGGAAAAGGCCCTGCTTAAAAGTTAGACCACTAACTTCTAGATGCTGCAGCCTTGCCCGTCTCAACAGCCCTTTGTTGAATGCCACACCTCACTCCTAAGCCTTACAGGTAAGTGGAGAAATGATGCAGTTTTCACTACATTAATTGCATTACTATGTGAACACTTACAGCAACTGAGTATTTATAATTGATCTGTTGACTAGAGAAATACAGTCACTTCCAGTGGTGTCTGGTTTGCATACATTTTTAAAGTAACAGTATTTATAGATATGAATACACTATACCTATAAATAGTAGCTAGCTTTCCTGTACCTTACTGTAACATAATTGTAACTTAAGATTACAGTAAAGCAGTATCATCTCTAACTTAATTAACATATTACAGCATGTATCAGAATTACATCTTTATTGCTGAATCAAGAAAATGCCATTTCCAAATATTTTGTTCATTATACTGTACGCAATGGGCTGTCACACGAAGGACAAACTTACCTTGCAAAGTGTTGAAAATGGTAAAGAGGTAAGTAAATACCTCATTTACTGTGAAGAAAGCAAATCCCCAAGTAATTCCCAACAAGAATGTGAGGCCAGCAACACTCCTAAGGTCTTGAATACTGGTTTTTCTTTGAGCACCAAGTTGTTTTTTCTTTTTGATACGACAGAGCTGGATCAGCACAACAATGAACATGCTGATATTGATCAGGAATATCAGGCAAAAGTATCCCACAGCAGTAATATAGAAGACAATTCGATTTTTAATCCAGCAGCTAGAACACAAGAACAGTCTGTCAACCATTATCAGAAACAGAAATTAAGTAAAATAAACATGAGATAAAGGTGTAGTTTGTTGCACATGCAAACCATTTTTGCTTCTTTAGTAAAATATTTTTTTGGCCAAAGGGTAAGAGCTTTCATATAGGCAATAACTACAAAACGCATGACGTACCATAAAGCTATACCATTTCAAAGCTCTCCCATTGCTTTCTTCCCTTCCCCACTTTTCCTTTAAAGAAAAGCAATTTTGTAGGACCTCCCTCCCACCCACCCCCCAAAAAAGCACCTCCCTTTAACTCACAATTCATCAGGTCTATTTATTGAAACCTTTCCAGTGGTTATAAGTCCATAATTATCTGGTGATACTGCCAACACAATGGACACAACTATTGCTGGTAACCCTAAAAGAGTATAAACAAACATGTAAGTGAAAATCATGAGAAAGACAGTATTATTATGAGGACTTGAAATTATTATATTTTTCTGTGAAATCTACAACTTGTTTCTGAAATTTGTCTGTTGAACTCTGGTTGGCTACTAGCTGTCTGAAAGAATCTAAAAACTGGAGCATTCAAACTGCTCAGGAGTGTAACTTGCAAAGAAACAAGAGTTCTTCTCCACAGCTAGCTCCAAACCTTTCTGAATAAGGCAACAAATACCATCCCTCATCAAACCGATTTAAAATATCAAATAGAGGATACCTGATTTTCTTTCTTATGTGTTTTAAGAAAACAATTCTATTGATTTTAGTGCCTTCACTCATGTTTACTCAAGTGGCCAGAGAGGATAATCAGGTCCAGAATCTCTTCATCCTTTATCCAGTTAGATCTGTTTTGCTGCTTTTTGTTAGCAACAGTGCTATCCCAGAAATGGGATATATATATATTTATTGGCATTTATTTTAAAAACACAACTGACACTATCTGTTTGGTAAATGCAAATGGAAGTATGCACATTCCAAATTAGTTCTATTGTACTTGCACAAGGAAAATTTATTACCAGTTTGCATTGCAGCAGTCTCAGTTCTGCAGTTAGTGGGGAGTTCCCTACCTCAGAAAGGTGGAATATATAAGATCATGTTTACTGATAAGGAATACCTGGTCACTGCAAGATCATAACATTTAATGACTGCTTCACCTTCATTTCTGAACACATTCACTGAAATACTTGCTAAGAGGATTCATCTATTTAGCATCTAAAAGGAAAAAAAAAAAATACATACCCCAACCAACAACGCAAAATTTAAGAATGTATTTCCGTACATAGGTATTAAAGACTTTCACAAGTGCCAGATACATGTGGAAAGCTTCTAGGCCCATCCAGGTGAAAGAAACCAAGAGGAAATAGTGAAGAAATACTGCAACTGCAATGCACAGGCCTCGTGTATCATACAGTGCAATCCATGAGTCAAGGAGGAAAACTAAGTTGAGTAGAAGTAATGCAGAACACAGCTGAATTAGGATTTTGGAAGGGTAGTCTCTCCGGATTTTCCTAAAAAAAGGCAAATTAGTGAGATGACATCAATTGTCCATGGACCCCTAGCTTACTTCCTCTTTTGTATTCCTTAGTGCACAAATGCCAGGAAAAAAAATTATATATTTTCATTCATATGTAATGCTTCATATATTGCATTTATACATGGAGAGAGTAATTTACAAGAGATTTCCAAATTAATGGTCTGTATGGATAAAGTTTGTTATAATAAGATTACATAAATACAAACAATAACTTGAATTCTTAGAGTTTAGTACCATTATTTTTTTTACATTGTATGTTGGACTTCTCCTTGCTACAGTACTTACAAAAAACCAAAACGTGACTGTTCCTTATTGCTAAACTAGATTAGGCTTTTGACTGGGCTTCTAAGGCCTTGACAGCAACAAGTAAGTCCTTGATGAGAGGATAATGAATGACAGAATAAAGGTGTGCTGAATAACTTCAAGGAGGATTTCCAAAACATAGTATGGAGGGTTCAATAGTTAAGGCTCAAATGTAAGAAAATGTTCCAACAAACAACAAAGAATACAAATGCATTTAAAAACGCTATCATTCTGCACTGCTTTATATACCTTGTATCTTAAACACATTCCTTCACACTTCTATTACGATAATACATTACAAAATATTTGAGAGCGCTACTTCTTCACTTCTTACTGCATAGACCCTCATGATTAATTCACTTGTCCACAAGATTAACAATTCTGAAGACTGAATCAACACCTTCCTGGTAAACTGGACAAACTTGTGCATTATTAATGGAGACAGAAGCCATAACTATTGGAAAGGACTGCAGTGAAGAATACAAGCAATCATAATGGAATAATAATGGGAGCTTAGTTGAACAGGTACTTACTCAAAGGCTATGTAGGTCACAAGAGTAATAGAAAGAAAGATTGCAGAGAGGCCACAGCCTATATAGGATATAAAAGTCAGTACCAATTCTTGTGTGGGATTCAACGGAGTATTTCCATACAAGTTCTAAAACAGAAACAGAAGTTAATTTCAGAGAACACGTTTATTAAATGGAAAAAGACAAAAAAAAAACCCCAAATGCACCTTTCCCTCTGCAACTAAAAAAAAGGAAACAGTTCTTTTCATCATGGATCTTATAAAAGGTTAACTGAAAAAAAGAAAAGCCAATCTAGTCTTGTGAGGAGCAGGGAGTTGGACTTGATGATCCTTTTGGGTCCCTTCCAACTTGGGATATTCTCTGATTCTATGATTCTACCTGTGAAATCCCATTTGATTAAAAACCTGTTTTAAATTTGATTTATTCTATTTTTTATTTCCTACAATATATACAACTGCCTAAACATAAAAGCTGCAGTTTAATAAGCACTTAAGGAATTTTTTACTCCAATGGAACTTTTGGGCCCCCATTCAACAAGCAGCTTAAGCATGTTACTGATTGTATGGCTATATGTACTAACACCAAAGTGAACAGAACCCGAGTAGTATTTCATAGGTGGTATCTGCTTCCTGAATACTCATTTGCTTAAGATAACAAGTGTTCTTGAATCAGGTTAAGATTGCATAATTTTTTAAATAATTACCATCAAAACTGCAAAGCTTGTGAGGTGGTTGCATGAACAGACTGTTTCATTTACTCTACTTTCTTTAACTACGCAACCTTCGTATGACCAGCCTCCATGTCCACCTGTTAAAGAAAACAGCTTTGTTATTCATAAAAGCCTTTATTTACATTAACATGAGTTAACATAGCTAAAACAGCATGATACCTTGGGTGATATCAAGTACTTACCATTTTTATTAAAGTCCCAAAAAACACATCTAACTGTTGAATTATCCTGTTTAGGAGGTTAAAAAAAAAAAAAAAAAAAAAGATGTTTTACTAAACTATGAGTTTATGATCAAGTAATTTATGAATTATCTACCAAATGCAGGCAAGAATAAATACTGTGTACAGCAAATATACCTGTTTTACATGAACGCAAGATTAATTTAGGTGCATAGAATGGATTAATATTGCAATATGCATGTGAAAATATGCTGAACAAATTTGAAGTCACCATACAGGAACTAGCTCTCATGCTTAAGATTCTGTTCCTGGTAGAACATTATGAATGCTCTTTCATTGTCTTCCCACACTATACAAATCCTTGGGATTTCTCATCCTTCCTGATTTTTTAAGTATCAAGAACATGACCACATAGAAAACAAAAATTTTTTTCATTCGCAAACATTTAATCACTTTATATTATCATGATGTTAAAGGTTTACATAAAGATTTCACACACACACAAGAAAATCCTAAAAATAGTAACAGTAATACACTATACTGCTATGAACACTAATATTTCTACAGTTGTATCTCAAAACTCAGTATTATATCAATACAAGTCAAGACTACACTAAGCCAGCTCTTGAAAAAAGCTTCAGGTACATTAATGGAATCTCTACATTTTTTCAGTTTATAATATCTTAGCATTTTAAATTCTTTTAAGATACGGGATAGAAGATTTTAATCCTTGATGGTCATTTAGGAAAGAGATGCTGTGTATGAGCCCTAATACTTCCAGATGGCACAATCCTATGTTTCACTGTAAGGAACAACATTCCCCTTAAGAAAAAAGACTTATATTGCTTTCTGGCCATGTAGCACCTACAATGTCATGATTGCAGCATCTCCGTAGCAACCCCCACTGTCAAGCTTTCATCTAAGAGTTTTTATTCTTTGGAGTATAAAACAGAAGGGTAGGTAGGAAAGATAAAAACTGGATGGGTAAGTGGTAAAGCAACATTACCTGAAACCATCTGAGAACATAAATTTATACCAGTGATAAATAAGCAAAGATGAGTGATTTTGAAAGTTCAGATGAGATTAAATGTCCACACTAGTAAAGCAGAACCAACCAATCTGCATTCTTAGTACAGTATTTCTTCTACAACTCCAATGGAGGCAACAAAATTGTACTTTAAGTCTGCCAAAATGTAAATCATACCTGATTAGGTTTGATATTCTGTAAAGTGACAGTAACATTTGCCTTTAAGTTGCTAATTGTGAGGTTAGCAACACTTGATGATATAACATTGCTGATTAAAGATGCATTCTTCAGGGACAGATCCTGGAATGACAAAAAAGAATCTGATTTTAAAATGTTAAAGGAAACAATAGTGGAGTACAGCACCCACAAGCTCAGTTATTATGTGGAGAGAGCACTGGACAAAAACAATTACTTTTTAAATCAGGAAGTTTTGAAATGTGTTTTGTGGGAAAAAAAGTCCATTCATATTTCATTTTGCTCTACGCTGGAGTTTAAAACCCTCATGAACAGAGGATCAAAAAGATACCTGGAACACAGTGGTCTTTTTAAAGAAGTTGAATATAATTCTAGAAGCCACGTCCAACTCTTCAGGGGGTAAATTTGTCAGCAATGATGAAGGAAGTGTAATTGATCCGAGATGATTTAAATCATGAATTGCATTAATGCCTAGAGAGATCTGAAAAATAAATGCAAGCATTATGCTTCATTTCAGTCACTAAAGAAAAATTAAATTATGACTAATTTTCAGTTTAGAACTTTGAAATACATATCGCTGTAATCACTGTCAGGAACTGCTGCTCTCTCATTTCTCTCCTGCTCCAATGAATAAATAGCATCTGCAGGCTGAAAAGGATGCAACTCATTTCAGGTCTGCCTACCATTGAAAATACTCTGGCCTTACCCATTTGCTTACAGCAACACAGTACATCACTGTGGTACATAATATTGATTTGAAAAAGGTGAAGAGCAACAACCTCCGTAGGTCTATCTAACTTGTAACTATGTAGGGAGATTAACATTTCACAGCATGGAAGCCTGCAAAGGCAAAGAATTTTTATACACCATAGGAAGTATGTCAGAATTCAGAAGAACTGTAAATAGCCATTATTTGTCAATAGGTTTTTAAGTACAGTAGGCTAAGCAGAATCTAAGAACATAAACCCTAACTTTATGATCATCTGGCAAAAATGACAAAAATAAACTGGATAAGGTACAATTCAGATATCTCAAGAGCTTAGTGATCTAACATTATAAAAAAGAAAGATCTGAACTTCCACCCAGTTTTCTGTGCTGTACTTACAAGACAGAGAGCTTTGTTTAATACAAAATCTCAAACTCTCCTGTTGCACATTAGTCACTTTACATACAATTATCATCGTCTCAGAGTTCCTGAGAGATGTGAAACATCAGCAGAACTGAAGAAAGGAATTATCTGTGTATTCAAAGAATGGCTGTAATAGGAATAACAGTGTGAGCTCCCCACAGTGCCCTAACAATATGGTTTAACTGTTCTGTTTAGACCAGTGGTCTCCAAACTTTTTTGATCATACACCCCCCAAAAATTTTTTGAGCATGCACCTCAAAATATCTATTTATAAGTTATATGCATGTACAACTGTACTAATATATTATGCATGTTATAAATCATACACAAAACCAGACATTTCAAAAGGATGAGATAAAGATTAAACATTACTTTTTTAAAAATGTATTTTTAATTTATTAATCATACAAAAAAAATATTTTCTTCCTGCACCCCAATGGACAGACTGTCATGTACATGCCCTGGGGTACTCACACCCCACTTTGGAGATCACTGGTTTAGTTGGCTGACAAAGAAATCCCAAATCAATTCCACAAAAGCATTCCTGTTGCTCCGGTTTGAAGTAGACACTTGTTGAAAATTCTCTGTATTTCACTGCCAGTGCCATGAGATTTCCAGAAAGTTATTACTTGGCAAATATCTGTTTTTCAGCACTACCACCTCCTAGTCACCTCACATGCATGCACTACATATTCCTAAGAAAATAGAAAAGAACTCAAATGTTAACATTCCTTATAATTTTCAGTATCATGGAACAGTTCCAGTACTACTTATGGCTGATGCTACGTTAAGCTATTTCCTTCTCTGACAGGACAGAATGTGCCAAGATTTGTCCAGAACTTCCAACTCTCCTTGCTTAAGCCTCCAAGGCTGGTATTGTCCAAATTATTATTTCCTCAACCAGGAGGGAGTTTTTGAGTGAGACAAAGTGGATCCAAACTTTCTAAGCACTTCTTTCTTGGCAACACCAACTAGTCATGAGTGGCAAATGTATGAATGTCATTATCCAAGCAACATAATAGTTCCTTCCTGGAACCCTCTGCAATTAATCTCCTTCTAACAGATGAAGCCATCTGGCAACACTCCTTGACAAATTTCAGCACTGTCAGGGTGGGTGATTAAGTGACTCATGATTCAGGAGTTTTGAGGCAAAGTTATTTCACCAAGCACTCTGTCCATTCCGGTGTTCTGGCTGTACCATCTCTAACAGCTTATTAGTTGAATGCCAGTTTCTGCTAAGTCTGTTGCTTATTTACGCTTATTTACACAATAGAAAATGAAAGGAAAAACTATGGAGGGCTTCAAAAACGAAGTATTTTTTCTCTGAAACTACATGAACAAAAGAACCTGAAATTCTGACATAAACACAGAAAGAACTCCTGTTACCTATAAATATAAAACCACAAATACTTAAAAATAAATGTTTGAGAATTTGTACATATTTAGAATTATCAGTGTTTAACCTGGAGATCAGCTGAGTCCTGGACAGCAAAAGACATTTGATTGGAGTGGATGCTATTGGTTTTGACAACTGCCAGAGCCAAGGAAGGGGAGGCAAAATCAACAGAGGTTGCTGAAAAGTTCAGTTTTAAGCCAATATAATCCACCAGTTTTATAATTCTGTTAAGAGAAAGAGATACGTAGTATTACCAAGCACATAAACCCAAAATTCTCAGGCAAGTTGTGGTTATGGAGCAGCAATCCAAGTGTAGTGTAAAATATAAACCCAAAGTTCTCATCAAGTTGTGGTTATGGAGCAGCAATCGAAGTGTAGTGTAAAATACATCTGACTCTGCTCACTTACTGTGGTGTTAACACAAAAAAAATACACTATCTTCCATGGCATTATATTATAGTAGAGCTGGTAACATTAGAATGATACTCCTTCTGTTTTGTGTAAGTACATTAAAGAACAAGAAATATTCTTTTGGATTATGATTATCAAAAAATGAAACTTGCTGAAGCCAATTTATCAGGAGAGTCAATACAACACACCTTTAATCTATTGCCAGAATGACTTACCTGTTAGAAATTCGGGGTGGTAATGGTTGGGAAGCGGTCAGGACTTTGCTAACCTCACTAACCATCCTTTCTACATCTTTTGGCTCTACTGTTCCAGCTGCTAAATCGTTTTCTATTTTGGACACAATTTGCTCAGCTGTGGTGATACTAATGGTGGTATATACAGAAGTTGTGTATGTGGTAGCTGATAGTATCTTTCCTGTGACAAAAGAAAAGTTGTGTCTTTATTTAAACATTGTGTTCAACAAATGAAGTAAGCTTTGAGACGCAGAAAAATTAAACAGTTCTCTTGACCAACAAACCTTATCAGAACTTGTAAGGTCTCTCATTATGTTATGTGAGACAGAATCCCTTTTTCTCCCTATCAGCTGCTCTGCAGATAGCAACACTTTAAATCTTATGAAAACATAAAGCAAGGTTTCAAATGGCCAGCATTAATTCCACTTTTTATCGATTTCAAAGTTCCTCACATCAGGCCATTAGTGATGTTAAATAATCTATTATTTTGGATTTTTAGCCACTGGATGACTGAAAGTAGAATAAAGTCAAGATAAGATCAGCAATTTGAAAAGAAGCTTGTGAAGATGCATACAATCTTCATAGGAGAATACATAGCAACTAAGAATATTCCCAATCAATAACAATATTTTAAGGAAGATGCAACATTGATTTGCAATATTTTAAATACTAGCTTAAATACTATTAAAGTATTTAATTCTATTCTATTCTATTTAATACTATTAAATACCATTTTAAATACTAGTAAAAAAAAATAGCTACCTGGCTCTGTGACTTAATTTTTTCTGCCAAAGGTACCTGTTGGGAACTTATCACAGTACTTATCTATCACAGTTACCAACCAATTTGTAGGGTGAGGTATCACTCATCATGGCCAAAGGCATCAGAATGTATTTTAAAATAAGTATACACCTCGTGAGAATTGTCTCAGGTTTTTCACAGTAATTGGAAGGTCACAGCTCAGACATATAATCTTGTTTAATGAAGTTTAAAAGCAAATTCAGTATATGGCATTCAAATTTAAAAAAAAAAAATCATAATCATTTTACTTGTCATATTTACCTGTGCTCCCATTAGGCAGGCTACCATGGCCATCAGCAGTAGAATGAGGATGAGAAGCTGAGACAGACTGGTTGATAGGACTAACAGTAGGGGTCAAAGTTATTGTGAAAGGAGTAAGGGGAAGAATAGGTGCTGTAGTAACGTTTTTGTTGCCAGAGATAGGCTGGGTGGAATCTGTAGCAGGATGAATTTGTGCAACAGATTTGGTGGTAGTCTCAAAGGGGGGAATTGCTATTGAAGGTTTGGGGGGAAGCTCAGAAGAGGAAACTGCAGAATGTTTAGTGAAACCTACAGAAGGAGAAATTATTGTAACAGGCTTGCTAAGATATGCGGTATCAGATTTAATTGAGAAAGCAGCATTAGTGACAGATTTTGTTGCAGGCATGGAAATAGTGACAGGTTTATTAGAAGCTATGGAAGAAAAAGTTGGCATGGTAGGTTGAGCAAGAGACTCAGAAGAGGAAAGCGTGGTGGTAACACTGGTAGAAGACACAGAAGTTTCAGTAGCAGATGTGGTAGAACTTTCAGAGAGAAGGTTGGTAGTGGGAGATGGGGAGAGAGTTCCAGAAAAAGAAATTTCTGTGAATGGTGGGATCAGTGGTCTAATTGTGGGGCTTTGTTTGGTAGAAAGCATAGTAGGGGAAATAAAAGTATTAGATTTGGGGGGAGTCTTTTTAGGGAGAGAAGGAGAACGAGGGAAAGGAACCCATATAGAATGAGGTGGCACTTGTATAGTACTGTAAAAAAAAAAAAAAAAGGTATAGAAATGCATGTTAAATTTAACATTGTTTATGTTTTAAAGAAAACAAGTTCTAACAGAGGATATGGACATACTACTCCTAATGTATATTTTAAAATCAAATCAGATTGGATGTTTCATGCTCTAGTAATGAATATGAATTCTGTAACATTTTTAGGGTTCTTACATTCTGTTTTGCTGTAGTTGTTGACTAGCAAGCCCATAAATATTACTACTGCCTTTGCTGCCTGTTCTGGAGGTGACCTGATGCTGAACACAAAATCTATCTGCATCGGGGGGGGAGGGAGGGTAGGGGAGGAAAAAAAAAAGGGG